TCCTATTACATAAAGCTATAGTTTTTTTAATCTCTAAAATTAACCAAATGTAGGTAAATACAGTATCTCTTCCTTGGAGTATTTATCTCTTAACATCATTCAGTAAAGCAGATCATTCCCTGGGAAAAGAACAAGACTTGACGTTACTGTCACTCAAGTGGAGAGAAAGGTGATTTTTGCTAAATCTTCCAGCATATGGTGGGTTCAGGACATTCCGTGAAATCCCAAAGATAGGCTCAAGTTTGCCCTTCCAGAGTGGAAAGAATGCCCCTCCTCTAATTTCACCTGGTCTTCCCGGACTGTTTATTAAAGATGTATATTTTATATCAGACAGAGAATCTCAAGTAACTTCTTGGCAAGGGCAGCTGTATTTTCAGGACCCATTAAGATTCTTTGTGGAAATTTAAATACCTCTGTCAGGCAAACAAAATCATATCAGGAATCATAGAATTTCATTGCTAGAAAGAGAAATTAGATTAACCAACCCTCACTCCTTTCCTAGAAACCTCAATAAAATAGAAGTACATTTCAACAGTCTCTTCCGGTCTGAAGGGGCCTCACCAGAAATCTAAATGAATTTAGGTATAAATTAAAAAGCTAAAGAAAGCTATCCTGAGAAAAGGCCTTCCATCTACAAATACTGTATACATCGATACAGATGATAACATATAAGTGTATATTCCACATTAGAAGGCAGAGCCTATTTAAAATCAAAACAGACAGAAAAAAAACCCAGTGGCAGAAACCACGACAAGTTCAATGCCGATAAGCTTCAGCCCCTTTGAAATCCTTGTCCTTTATTAATATTTAGTAGAAATGTATAATTGCAGATGTGCGCTTGGTTGGGGTTTTATGTCGGGAGGCGGGCAAAGAAGACAGGTTTATTACAACCATGAAATATTAAACAAGCACCAGAGAAGAGGAGCGGTGTGTCCCGGACTAGCCAGGGAGCAGGCAGGCCCAGACCGTCAGCTGCACAGAGGGGGCTCCTATCTGTTTACATCACCCCTGATTAACACCTGCGAAGTTTTGGGTTACATCTTCCGGAGGCTGCCAGAGTCACTTGAAGGCATGCAACCCGTGCTGGGTGATTTCTTGAGGAAATAGGACTGCAAGGCTTCGCCTTCCTAAAACCAGTTGGAAGGAGCCTTAAAAATTCTCTCCACGGTGTGAGGAATGGGGAAAACGACTCAGAAGAAAAAAAAAAAACAGAAAAACAGCACTAGCAGCCTTCCCCCTTGCCTGCCCCCACGACTAAGGAAACCCAGCGTTCAAATCCTGCCTGCCTAGTACGACTCAGCACCGCTTTACTGGGCTCTGACTGGAACACTGAGAGAAGCATGAAATTCCAAAAATTTCTCCCGCATCACTGTAAAAATATCATGCTTCCAAAAAGGGCCGGATTGCATGCAGAGCGTAGACGGAGACCTCTCCCGTTTCCGTGTGTGTGAAAGAGTGTTTCTAGACATCTCTGGATTTCATGATAGAGAACAGCCAACAGAATGGAAGTTTGGCAAGGGTAAACTTATTACAGAATAGAGTTAATTCAAGTTTTGAAACCTGTAAGGGACCTGTGGGCAGGGGCCGGGGGACACACATTTTTAGGCTTAATATCCTTTATCTACAATCTACTATGATTTCTGCTTCTCTCTGGGTTTTGAAATTCCTCCATAGCCAGGAACCTATTACAAAGATGGGTGGATGATTTTGCAAACTAATTTCAAATTCAGGTAATCCTCACTGATTTAATAGATGTCTGAAAAGGCCCAAACTCAGGCTGGTTTTTCTTTTTCCCCCTCTTCCCAACCTCACCCTTCCCCCACCCCAACTCTGTGCAAACAGAATCTCACGAGGAGACCTAGAGTTTCATGATATAAAAGTTGTTTGGCGGGTTGATTAAGAAGTCTGAGGAAGCATAATTTGCAGAGGCTCACTTTCCTGTTTTTTGGTTTAAAAAAAAAAAAAGATCATCATCACATGTGATTCTGGCCTAGACTCTGTGAGAACGGTAAGTTGCCAGTCAAGTTCCCTCCGCTCCGAAGGACATCTAAACCCCAGAAGACAATATGGGCACGTCCTCTCCAATCTGAGCAGGATCATTTCTGTTAAAGACCGACTAGTATTTTGTCATCGGAGCGAAGAAATTTCAGAAACAGTGTTAATATTTAATCACATTAGTACTGGCGTGTTTTATGGCGTGACAAAATAAAATATCATTACAAAAATGGGCTTTGCCTGAGGTGTGGGGGATGATGGTGGGTGGTGAAAGACAGTGTTCGCTGGGGCTGGAACTTGGAGAAGGTACATTCAAAGCTGCTTCGTGGCTGATGGGACCCTGGGCGTGTGTTTACAGAAAAGCAGGATGCTTTCCTTTCAATTCTTTTTTTTTTTCCCTCTCTCTCTACTCTGTTTCGAAGGGGTACACTTCATTCTGATTTTCAGCCAGGGCACCGGGGGCCCGTTGAAGGCTCTGTGTACCTATTTATACAACGTGCAGATGGAGCTGCGGGGTGTTATCATAATGAAAAGTTTAATCGTCCTTATTTACTACCAGTAAGGGAGCAGGAATCAGATGTAGATATCTTACAAAGCCTTAACTAACAGTCCCAAGGCTGCAGAAGCTGTGAGTGACCTCAATTCGGGGCTTTATCTAGGAAACTGCCCTTCCTACATCAGAGTGGGAAAACAAAGGAGGTCAAGTGGGCGTCCCTGCGAGGCTTCTAAGGCAGTCAGCCCCGAGCCGGTCCCTGGAGGAAGTTTCCCGTCTCCCCGCGTGCAGCGGACAGGGGGAAATCAACCCCGAAACTAACCAGCATCTGTTTCCAAAAAAATATTTTCCTTTGCCTGACGGTGATAACGTAACAAACAAAACAAAACATTTTCTTCATTCTCAGTCCACATTTTTTTTTTTTTTTGTCTGCAAAGGAAGATGAGTCAGGCTGAGAAGGTAACAGTGCAACACCTTGAAAAAAAAAAATCTCATTAAAACCACCCAATTCCTCTGCACCAAAGGCCCTTCAAAAGACTTGCAGGCCAAGTGCTATTGGTTTTTCTTTATTAATTCTCTAAATCGGGTTGTTGTTTTTTTTTCTTTCTTTTTGACTCTTCTCACACCATTTTGGCCAATGTGGTCTTAATTATGGGTGCGGGGGAGGGATGGGAGAAGGAGGAGGGGGAGGGGCAGCCAGGCCAAGCCAGGTAGAAGTGACAGGGGCTGGCATTTGTGCTAACCAGCTATCGATCGGCAGGACCAAGATGTTGTGTACAAGAAAATAAAAGAGAAGGGAGGCAGAGAGACCAGGATGCTGAGTCCAACTCCATTTAGAAAAAGGTGGGGGGGGGGGCAGGGAGAAGCAGCGGAGGGTCCCAAACTAACCAATTTATGGCCTTGCCTGGGAGAAGCCTGGAGAATGCTGATGCTGGCCGCAGTGTCTGCTGTGCATGCTAAACACCCAGCTTCAAATGAGAGAGCGGCATCCCGGGCTGGGCAGTAGGCGAACAAAGAGAAAAGCAGCAAGGCCGCATTCATGAATTAGAAAACCCAAGCGGGAAAGCTACCCGGGACGGCGGTCAAAGCCCAGAGTTCTGAGCCACCCAACTCCTGCCGCACTTCCCCTCCCCCTCTCCCTCCGCCCCCATCCCCTGGTCCTAAAACCTACCCGCACCTTAAACCCTGGGTCAAGAGATGGCAGGATGCAGGATGTGGACTGAAACTGAAGGTAGAAGCAGAAGGCAGAGGAGAAGCACCCTAAGAGAAACAAGGATCAGTGGACATATTTTTTTTTTTTTAAGACACAGTTACATCGCCAGCTACAGGCTCCAAGGTAATAGCCTGGTGAGACCAAGGGGATCCAGGGAGGTTTTAACAGCAAAAGGTAGGAATGGGGTGGGGGTAGAAAATGATGCTACCTAAAAAGGCCCCATAAAAAAATAGAACAGATATCTACTGCAGCCCCGGTCACCTTTAGGTAAAAAAAACAACTATCATTACTTTAACGGCAATGGTGGTCCATTTTACTACCCCCACCCCACCCACCTTAAAGGCCTCCAGGCCCGACAGGGAGGGAGTGCTTAGAATGCAAAGGAGAACTGGGAGCAGACATCTGTCACTAAAGCCAGGAGAGATATTGACAAACTCGGGTCCTTTGTGTTAAGAATATATATCCATATCCCCATGCACAAATGATGCCCTGGTCGACTGGTCTGGTCTCTGCCAAGTAGACCCCACCCTGGCCCCCGCCCGCCACTCCCCCCACCCCAACCAAATGTCAAGGAGGTGCACTCTGAAAAGACTGCCTGCCTCCTACAACCCTGACAGGTCTCCAGTTTTTCAATGAAACTCTAATCGTTAAGAAGAGACAAAACAGCTATTCATTAGGAACGAATGTCAAATTAGGCGTCGCCGCTGAATGATGCTGCGGACACCAGAGCTGGTAACTTTTTCCCCCAAAGATGCTGGCACACGCGAGGGAGCTCAAGTTGCAGGCTGGCTGACTAGGAAAAGATGGGGAGGCATTAACACAGCTTCCCAGGTGTCCTGCCAGGAAGTGGAAGCTGGGGGGGGGGGGGGGGGTGCAGGAGGATGGCAGGAAACTCCTGAAAAGTGGAACAGGCCTGCACGTTGAGGGGTGAGGAGGGGTCTGAGTGTGAAAGGGAAGAGGCCTAGTCCTCAGGGCACCCAGAAACTCAGCTAAAACTTCACAGGGGGTACTCTACAATAATCCCCAAATGGGTGCCACTTTAAGTTGTTACTGCAGCTGTGAAACTAGAATCTACTTGGCAGCACCTAGGGGGAGAGAAGGGGGCCTGCCCACGGAGCCCCTGGGGTAACGAAATGAAGGGTACCAGCTCTGAGCTGGGCGTCAGGAAGGCCCTGTGCCCCGCCGGCCCCGAGGGACCCTCCCCTTTCCTGAAGCCGTCCAGGCAGACGCCCAGGCCAGCGATGGGGGTGGGGCGCGCACCCGCCAGGTGAGAGAGGAACTGGAAAGGAGCGCATATACCTTCTTTGCTGCTGGGATTCTGGGGTCTGGCCTTCTCCCAGGGCGCCAGCGTCTTGTCCTCGTCTGTGCCGTCCCCCAAAGACTTGTCCGCCGGCATGTACCAGGTGGCGCTGTGCTCCGCCATCAGCGAGTCCAGATCAATGGTGCTCATGGCGCTCTTGACCGCCTCGGAGCAGCAGCTGCCCAGCTCGCTGTCGCCATTCTGCGCGCCAGAGGCCCCGACGGCACACTCACCCTTCTTGCCACCCTTGAGCCCCAGGGGCTGGTCCTCAGAGATGCTGAACTGCTGCCTCTGCAGCTGGATCTGTGCCTGGAGGATCTCCAGGGGGTGGATCTCGTCAGGTGGCGGGGCACCGCCGCTGCTCGTCGGGGTCCGAACCTGCTCCAGGCCCGGCGTGCCGGGATGGCCCGTGCCCCCTCCGCCATAGCTGTCAGGGGTCGAGGTAGAGGTAGACAAGATGCCCAGGCCAAGCGGGGGCGGGGGTGCCTTCGGTCCGTGCTCCCCGGCGCCCACCCCACGGGGAGGGAGTTTGGGCGAGCCTGTCACCAGAGGGCTCCTACTCGCTTTGGCCAGGGCTGGGGGGTTGTCGGAGCTGGAAGACACCTCGTCCTCGTTGGCGTAACTAGTGCTCACCTCGTCTGAGGCGAACTCGCCCACGTGCGGGGAACTACCGTCCGACTTGGCCCCGCCGTCCAGGGACGCCATGAGGTCTGGCTGGTCCCCCAGGAGCAGTTCGGCCCCCTTCCCCCACGACGGCGACGTGAGCGCTTTCTCGTGAGGCGTAGGCGCCCCGCGCGCCTCTCCCGAGTTTCCCCCGACGGCTGCGCCGGGCGCCTGCTGCTGCCCTGGGCTCACACCAGACGCGCCCCCGCTGTCCGGCGCCGCCGCCGCCGAGTACTTGTCGAAGAAGGTCCCGGGGCTCACGTGACCACTGTCCCTTTTTCTGCGCCCCCGTCCCCGGCCGCCGCCCCCGGGGACCGGCTTGCCGTCGTTCCCCGACGTCGATTCCAGGGTGTAGTTGGGGGAGAGGCTAGTGCCGTCCCCCTGGGCGGGCGGATTGGGCGGCCCAGAGGCTTTAGAGCCGCTGCTACTGGTCCCCGACGGGCCTCCGGGCCCTGGAGCCCCAGGAGCAGTCCCTCCTGGGAAGTAATCCGAGCCCGGGTTGCCGGCCACGGCCGCGCCGTCGGTCTCATTCTGGCTCAGTTTCCTCTTGCCCTCGGGCGGGTTCTTCTTGTTGAAGGTCACGTTGAGGTTGGGGGCCCCGAGGCTGGCGATCATGTTCTGGCAGGCGGTGGAGAGCGCAGCCAGGCAACTCTGGCCGAACAGGTTGTCCTTGGAGCTGGGCTTGTTGAAGGAGCCCAGCGAGAGCGCGCCCAGCTTACTGGCCGAGGTGCGCTGGCTGGGCTGAAAGTCAGGCTGCGGCGGGTATGCGCTCCCGCCGCCGCCGCCGCCGCCGCCACCTCCCGTGCTGCCGCCGCCCCCGCCCGTGCTCGGGGGCGAGTTCACGCCTGGGCCGCTGTGCGGCGTGGCCTGCCGGTTCGCTGCGCCGAACGGGAAGCCAGGCTGCCCCCCGAGCGCGGGCGCCGTGAAATCAGGTGGCTGGGGCCGGCGCTCGGAGGGAGCGCTGGGCAGCCCGACCCCAGCCCCGGGCGACTGCAGCTGGCCCAGGCTGGCCAGGCTGCCCCCGAACTGCAGGCCAGGGGAGGGCAGACCGGGCACGTGGCCCTCTCCAGGCATCCTTAGCGGCTCCTGCAGAGAGCTCCTAAACAGCACCCCCGAGCCACCGGGCGGAGGGGGCGGCGCCAGTCCTGGGTCGTGCGGGCCGCAGTCGGAGGGCAAGCCTGAACCTCCCATCCTGCGGGGCAGCAGGTCACCCGGCGGCGGATGCGGACCTGGGAACCACGCGCTCTCCTGCGCCAAGTGCTGCGCCTGCGGCTCGAACGTGCCCAGGCGCCCGGCGCCCGCGCCGCCGCTGTCGCGCTCAAAGTTCGGCTGGGCCAAGCCGCCCACTGGGCCGCTGTGCACCAGGCCGCCCTGGCCCACGTCCCCGGGGTGGCCTAGCTGGGCCAGGTTGGGCTGGCGCAGCCGCTGCTGCTGATTCCGCGACGCCATCTGCTTGATCATGAGGGCCGCGTTTTGGCGTTGCTGCTGCTGCTGCTGCTGCTGCTGTAGAGACGGGTGGTCCGGGGCCGGATGCTGCAGAGGTGGCCCTGAGGGGAAGCTGTCGGGCACAGGCGGCGTGAACTCGCCGGGCAGGCCGGAATAGGCAGAGGGCGAGAGGTGGTTGTCCAGAGCCCCATTGTGCATGCTGCCGTTCCACGAAGCGCAGCGATCCACTCCCGCGCTGGCCGGGAAGTCAAAACGCGGCCTCTTGGCCACGTTCATGTAGGGGGGTGCGTCGAAATGCTGCAGCCGCTGGTTGGGCGCCTGCTGCATGTTGAATACAGGCTCGGAATAAGGGTGCATGCTCCGGTTCTCCAGCCGGTGGATGGGGTACTCGAACTGCGCGTGTTGGTTGGGCAGCATGGGCCCCCCGTCCTGCAGGCCGCTGCTGGGCGTGCCCGCCTCGCCCTGCTGGGGACGCGGGAGCGCGGGCGGACACGAATTTTGTCGGACCAGAAGCCCAGGCGGTGGCGGCGGCGGCTGCTGCGGGGGCGGCTGCTGCGGAGGCGGCGGGGCCTGCTGCGGGGGCGGCTGCTGCGGGGGCGGCGGGGCCTGCTGGGGAGGCTGCATCAACGGGTGCCTGGAGCCGACTCCAGGCTCCAGCCCCACGGGCATCTTGCGAGTCCCGCCGAACCTCTCGAAGAACACGCCGTGCTGCTGCTGCTGCTGCTGCTGCTGCTGCTGTTGCTGTTGCTGTTGTTGCGCGTGCATTTTCGACAAGCCCACCATGCCTGCAGCCCTGGGCATGGCCGAGGCACCCGGGAAAGAGCCCCCGGGAACCTGACGACCCGCTGCATAATGAGGCAGCTGCCCCTCGGAATCAGAGGGAGAAAACATGTCGAAATGTCCCGAGGGCGGCTCGCCCGGGTAATTGTATTCCAGCGAGTCGACGGCTCCTTGGTTCGCCACCCTCCGGGGCTCCAGACTGTGGGAATCGGAGCCACCGGAGGCGGGCAGGCCGTGGAAGGAGGCGGCTCGGTTAGGGCTCTGGTCCAGCGGCAAGCATGGGGCAGGCACGGCATGGCCCGAGGCGCCCGAACTGTGGAAGTCCGGCAGGTTCCCGGGTCGCTGCGGGCCGAAGCTCTCCGGCCCCTGGCTCTCAGCCATATGATCGTAACCCTCGGCGAAGGGCGGCTGGCTGCCCAAGCCGCCGGCAGCGCCGCCGTAGCCGAGCAGGCGACCCCCGTGCAGGCACGAGGCCCCTGGATCCGGCCCGCCAAAGTTGCCCCCAAAGTGGGGGTGATGCTGGTGGGGGTGGTGGCCTCCCGGGTGGCCGTGGTGCGGCTGTTGGCCTCCAAAGAATCCGTGCACCGGCTGCGCCTGCAGCCCCCCCGCGTGCAACTCCGAGTGGCTGCGCGCGTGAAAGCCGTAAGGCTCCATGTTCATGCCCAAGATCGGGGGTTCGCCCAGCCCGCTCATGGCAGGGTCCACGGGGCCAGGGGGTACCCCCGCGTGGAAAGCCGGGGCCTTAAAGTGGGCGTTCATGCTTAGTCCGGCCTCGTTAAAGTTCCTCTCGCCCTGGCCAGCGTTCCTGCTGTTGATCTGGGGCTCGAATTGGTCCAGCCCAAACATACTTGGCGGGGGGCGGGGGGATCAATAGGGCATGACAGCCTGCTCTCCGCGGCGCGCCTCCGGCCAGCTACTCGTTCCGGCCCTGGCTTGGGCGCTCCTGGACGCTCAGCACCGCCGGGGCGCAGCGCGCACCGCCACCTCGCCTGGCTTGTGAAGGCTTGGGGCTATCAGCTCCTCTCCCGAAGCTCTCGTTCTGCCCGACGCGGGCCTCTCACATCTTGCGGCGCCGCTGGGCCTCCAGGAGCCGTGTTGGGGGGCCCATGCCCCGGGCGGTTGGCACAGCCGCGGGTGGGTTTGCGGGGAGGGGACGGAGCTGAGGGTGACTGAAGACAAAAAGTTAAGTGGGGGGAAGGAGGCGGGAAGGAGGGAGGGAAAGCAGAGCAATCACCTTCTTAAGTCCGATCGGGTTGGATGGGGAGCCCCGGACACTGCCTGAAGCCTCCCGGAGTCCGTGGCGGAGCTGCTAAGGGGCCAGGCAGGGAGACCCTTCAAAGCCGTGGCTGGCGCCGGGGCACAGACCGAGCGGTCCCTCCCCCCTCCCCCCGGAGTCCCCGCGCTCCGCAGCTGGAGCCTCAGCCAAGCACGATCGGCTCGCTCAGTCCCCGTCGGCCCCAGCAAGCGGATCCTGCTTCTTCAGCGGGTCGGAGGACTGGAAACTCCGCTCGGCATCACTGGTGCCCGCCCCCGAGCCGGGAGCTGAGCGGGGCTGAGGAGGACCGGCGGGCGCCCGAGGTTGAAACCGAGGGTTGGTGGAAGGCGCGGCTCCCCTATTCCGCGGCGGGTGCGCTGCACCCCGGCGCGCCGCTTCGCGGCCACGTCCGCTGCTTGCCGCTTCTGTCCTCTGCTGTTCGGTCTCTGAGTTCGCGGGGATCTCCAAGCCCCGTTCCAGGCGCGGGCGGGCAGCAGACGAGAAGTTGGGGCGATCCAAGGCTAGGGTTCCCTGCCTCCGCGCCGAGGTGCTTCGCAAGTCGCCCTCGGACCCGGTGAGGGGGGCGTACGCGGGTTGGGGGGCCACGCTGGGCTAGCAGGCTAAGGCGTTCCGGCTGCGCTTTCGGAGCCCGGAATGGGAGGGGGCGGGGGCAGCTCTGGGGGGTCCGTGCACCCCTCTCCTGGCTGGCGGGGGGGCCCTGCGTGGGGCGTTCCGAGGGTCTCGGCTCCCCTCTCTGTGTCTGCCTCTCGCCCAGAGCCGGGAGAAGCAGCAACAAGTTTTGCATTTCAGCAATCAATTTCAGCCATTACATTTGCACCAATCAGCGCAGCCCGA